AGGTAGGCAGACTGTAGAGCTTGCAATTGAATGAATGAAAGTATTATGAAAGTAAGAAACAAATATTCGCTTCCATTTTAATAAAACTGACACTTTTTTATTGCCAATCATAATAGTTTGTGTTACAAAATAAAGATGTGTTAGATTCTCAAACAGAGAGTTTTTATATTAATTGAAAATAATATTATCTTTCAAAGGCAGGAACATCTAATTTATGCAATTAACTTTTTCCATAGTTATCGATAAAGAATAAAAATAAAGAATATAGTGCTTATACATACACACGATAAAAGTCAGTGAATGGAAAAAAAACGGCTTCAGGTGGATAAATGATATCTTCAGTAGTGGCGCCATCTACCGAATGGATTATTTTTTTATTTTACCTACACAAATTTGCCATCTCACTGCACTGTTGTTACTGAAGGAATAACAAATATATCTGCTTAGTATACATATTATTAAATTCTTATAAATTTGGATTTGCCGGAAATCCCCGATTACCTTATACATTTGTATTCATCTCTATTTTTCTTTATAGGGATTGAAGCACGAAGAGAGAGAGAGAGAGAGAGAACATGATCATGACCTGCATACGTACAGAAGTGATTTTATTTTCTGCACTTACGTCTGTTATTATCTAAGTACTCTTACGTAATTATGCTTTAATTTTTTGGACTGAAAGAGAGAGCTTTGTATTTTATATTTAGTGTATATGGCAAAGTTTCTAAGACTACTTGTCTCGTCCGTAATTTTGAACTGCTGACCAGCGGGAAGACAGCCAGCCTACAGCACACTATCACTTGCAATCCAGGCTAAGGGATTTGAGGGATTGGATGTTACTCTCATAACGCACCCAAAGTTCAGAGAATATTTAGATATATCGCATGAATTTAAACCCGGCTCGCTAGCTCCGAAATTTAGAGCTTTAATATAGGGCCAGCCCCCACACGAGTTGAAATGACCTCTAAAGATTAACTTTTTAGTTTTATTTAGGAATGTTTAGCCATGGTACATGGCATTTCAAACACCATTATAGAAAGTGCTTTCCATAAATTCCAGTCAACATATAAAACCTTTCCCTAAATGAAGTTACTTCAAGTGTAATCTGTTTTAGACAGTGTTCATTGATTCTTCCAATATCCTACACACGCATGTTATTGAAATCACCATTCTCGTATCATTAGAAAAAGAAAAGCAATACTAACTTACGAGAAAAGCTATTTATGTGTGCAGTTTAATGTGGTTTTGAAACAGCCTGTATAATCACCTTATTGTATAATGTTAGTGATTAAGCAGCAGAATTTCAGCACAACTTTATTTATACAAAGTTCGGGTATATTTGTTGTTGGGTGAATTAGAACATTGTGATAGTGTTCAACAACGTGACAACCATGGGTAGCTCACTTCTTCTGTGAAATAGGTTATACTTTAATCTTTGATCGATACATGATGATACACTAGCGATGTCTTACGTTCCATATTTTTGTGTGAAAAAACAAAAAATCTACTTTTAACTCTAGAATTACCGATGGAATGACCACGTTCGGTTACTTGAACTGTTTATGAGCAATATTGCTTTTGTTTTTCAGGTTTTTGATATCATATGAGTAGCACAGGAAGATGTAGAGAGAAATACCACAAATATTATAAACACAGCCACAAGACTCTGTACAACGGACTACATAAATAAAGAAATTAACCACATAAAGCATTCCTTTATTCACACCAATAAATTCCCACCAGCTATTGTTGAAAAACTCTCCAACATTCTCCACAACAAAACTCAACTCACGAACAAAATTGATACTAACCTTTTGTTCCTGAAACCAGCTCAAGAATTATCCACACTTGGACAAAACTAGCCATTAAACACAATATTCCTGTCAACGTCAAATTCTCACAAAAACCCGGCCCTAAATTAAAATCGTTACTATACAAAAATTATTTAGAATCACACAATACGAACTACATTTATAAAATAACTTGCACTAAGTGCCCAGAATTTTACATCGGAGAAACAGGCAGAAAATTGGAAACCAGACTGACAGAACACAATAAAAAACCGTCCCATGTTTTTCACCATTACAACTCAAAAAACAATAGTATATCTATTAAAAGCACAGTCATTTTAAACAAAGAACCAAACATAAGCAAACTAAAAATCAAGAAATCCATCTTAATTGAACAAAATAACCCTACTCTAAACCAACACCCCTGTATGCCAAGATACATCTTCTAAGTTTTGCAACAGTAT